TAGGAACCGGTGTTGCAGCGGATTTTGGTTGAGGAGGGAACCAGAGATATGCAGACAGTTTTGGAGGACACTTAGCACGAGACAACGGTCCGGCAGAGAGTATTTTCCCCCAGAAGAATATGAATGAAAGACCAGCAATTAATCCAGATAAAAGCGCATCTGTCTGTGCTGACAATACTCGACATTGATTTGAGCACCTCTATAACTTGGTTAGCATTTGTTTGCTCGACTACATTGGCTGAAGCGATCTGGTTACGTTAGCTAAACTGAGCTAAGTTTACACCGAATTGGACTCAAACTCATTTTAACGTGCAACGTTTAACTTATATTGATTTATTATACTATATATATATATATATATATATATATATATATATATATATATATATATATATATATATATATATATATATATATTAGCTGTTGTGAACTTATTTTTCTCTGGTTTAGAGTATAATGTCAGCTTGAGAAAATAACATTCTCAATTATCTATACAATATGCATAGAGGTAAAGTTGGTTTTTTATTCGCACATTCGTTCATTTAGAAGTCTCTATACTTTTTACCATGTTACTTTGAATATTCGATCAGAATTAGCATGCCAGTATGACTTGAAATCAACATTAACACTGTTTATTTGACCGTTAGCAATGTTGTACTTTGATAGTCATTGGCTGCTAATATGATTTCGTTATTTAGAGTTTGCAAATAATATTAAATTATTTAATTAATTAAATTAAATTAAATTATTAAGGGGGAAGTCTGAAGCTGCAAATATAAAACCAACTTTACCTCTATACATTATGCCAATAACCACCTTTTTGCTATTTATTGTTTGCTAATTATTATTATTATTTTTTTATCACAACTCTTGACATTTGGTTTAACATAATTGTTACTATTATATATTTTTTTCTGTTTAGATATGGCACTGGCACAGCAGCAGGTTTTGTCTGAAGAAGAAAACAGCATTTCGGAGGAACATCTTGATCAGCACAGCCTTATGCTTAAAGATAAGCAAGACCAGTAAGCAACCAAGGTAAACAAATTTAAAAAAAAGTTGTGTGGTAGTTGTGTATTGTAGCATGGTATTCTTATCTGTATTTTTGGCTTTTTTATGGTCTCAATGTAAAATACTGGGAGCCAGACTGTGCAAACTGAACCTCATATAACAGTAAGTACTGTACATCTATTTGTTTCTCAATATAGTAACGTTACTTTTAACACAAAATGTGTCACATGTTTAGTTGCTAGCTAAATAAAAGATTTGTTTTATTTATTAAACCATTTAGTAGGGTTTTTTTTCATCTTTTATTATAATATTTTGAGCAGATTGAGGTCTGTCATGGATCAGACATTTCGTAATACAATAATTAGTATTGGGATACATACATTTGTCTATGTATTAAATGTCTTTTTCCCCATTTCATGTTGCCTAATTTTTAATTTTTTTTTTGTATAAATAATTCCAGAGGATGAAACAAAATGCACAGCAACAACCAGAGTAAGCCAGAAGAAGGCAGGAGAAGTAATGAAGAGAATGACAACCATGAACAACAGAGTGTTATCATTCTTTCACCAGCTAACTGAGAACTTGGATTAGGTGAGACACTCTCAATAGTTGTATCAGTATTCAGTCTGTTTTAGTTTATTAGGAATACATAAAACAAATTGTCTAATCTGTCCTGCAGTGAATCACCCCATGATCACAAATGCTACAATGTTTTTGTAAAACCTTGTTGGGGAAAAAATAAACAGGACATTCTGGTTAGTTCTATTTTAAACATGGTAATGAGCAGGTTATGAGCAGGAGCCAGTTGTTCAGTACCAGCTGAAAACTAGTCCAACCCAGCTGCCATGCTTCTAAATAACTAACCAGTTTATGATTTTTTTTAAACAAGCTTCTTCTATGCTTAGGTTAGTCTGTTTCTTCTTATCCAGAGTTCTTCATAATCCTGGACTGGGCCAAATCCTGACCAAATGCTGTGGTGGTCATGGAGGAGTGATTCCTGAAAGACACACGTGATCAATGAGTTTCAGCATTGATCCAATGGGCCAGCCTGACCACCCGCTGGTGACCTTTCAAGCCTCCAGTGCCTAGACTGCGGCCTTGCACAAGTTTGGCTAGAGGAGAACTGGTCGTGCCCAACTGAGCCTAGTTTCACTCAAGGGCTTTTATTCTACACTTTCGTCAGTTGGTGAAGTTTGTTCCATGCCACTGTCGCCACTGGATCGCTTGGCTTCGTTTGGTGGATCGGTGGATCAGTGGATTTGCTATTCGGTGTTTGGACTTTCAGCAGTGACATTTACTGCTTCAATTCTGAAAACTGGACTGAAGCAGCTTCAATTTACAAGAACTTCTATGTTAAGCTGCTTTGACATCATTGATCTACATTGTAAAAGTGCAATAGAAATAAAGATGAATTGCATTTGAACGTGAATTCAGACCTTGTTGAGCATTTGACACCAGAATTTGTAATATTTTAAAGTTGGGTTGTTTCTGAGTCGGCTAATAGTTACAGATATTTATTTTTCCAACAATATGCAATTCAGACATTTAATTTATTAATGTACATGTGTGTTCTAGTGCTTTTTGTGATTTATTTATTTTTAATCTGTTGATTTTAATGCTTAATGTAATTTTCACACATTTTCCTTAAATGCTTTAAGCATTTTTATGTTTTAAAGAATGGAATATTTTGTAATTGTGTCTGGTTTAATGTCAGTAGTACTTAGTACAATTGGGTTTTTTTCTTTCAACAATATGCAGGTCAGACACTTAAATTAGTTTTGTACATGTGTGTTTATGTGCTTTGTCGTTTTCAATGTTTTTTTTTTCTTAAAATAAAATATTTTAAATGATTGAAATGTAATGTTTTTACACATTTTTTCTTAAATGTTTTAAGCATCTCCAATGTTTTAAATAAAGAGTGTTTATTTTGTTAATATTTTGTAATTGTGTCTTTTTTATGTCAATAGTATTAAAATAATATTAATATAATTATATTATAAAATATTTAGGACTAAATTAAAAGGTTTACAACAGTGTTGCCAGTAAGTTACTGTAAAAACCCTTTGAAATGTCTAACAGTGTGATGTAAGATGAACCGTCACCTCAGTCTGAGGTAAAGAGCACTGTGAAGCAGGTTTTCATTCATTTAGCACGTTGCTGCATTCATCTTTCCCTCTATCCTGACTAGTGCTCCAGTTCCTGCAGCTGAAAAACATCCCCACAGCATGATGCTGCCACCATCATGCTTCACTGTAGGGATGGTATTAGCCTGGTGATGAGCACTGTCTGCTTTTCTCTAAATGTACACCTGGCATTCACTCTAAAGAGTTCAATTTTAGTCTCATCAGACCAGAGAATTTAGTTTCTTATGGTCTGAGAGTCCTTCAGATGCCTTTTGGCAAATTCCAGGCGGGGAGTGGATTCCCTCTGACCATTCTACCATACAGGCCTGATTGGTGGATTGCTGCACAGATGGTTGTCCTTCTGTAAGGTTCTCCTCTCTCCACAGAACAACACTGGAGCTCAGAGTGACCATCGGGTTGTTGATCCCCTCCCTGACTAAGGCCCTTCTCCTTGATCCCTCAGCTTAGATGGCCGGGCAGCTCTAGTAAGAGTCCTGGTGGTTCCAAACATCTTCCACTTATGAATGATAGAGGCCACTGTGCACTTTGTCCTCACGCTTAGTTTGTTCTTTGACATCCACTGTCAACCCTGGGACCTTATATAGACAGGTGTATGCCTTTTCAAATCATGTCCAATCAACTGGATTTACCACAGGTGAAATTGATGTGATTTTTCAAGCTTTTTTATTTTTAATAATTTTGCAAAAATTTCAAAAAAAAAATTTTTTCACATTGTCATTATGGGGTATGTAGAATTTTTAGGAAATAAATTAATTGAATACATTTTGGAATAAGGCTGTAACACAAAAAATGTGGAAAAAGTGCTATGAATACTTTTGGGATGCACTATAAATATATATTTTAATTATTAGACACAATCTGTACAATTTTCACATGGATTTTTACAAGAAAATGTATTTATTTTTTTGCCAGGACATTATGCATTGTTTGCTTTACATTGTTAGTCTATATATGTGTGGTGTTTGTTTAGTGTGTGTTGACATTGTGTTGTTGTGCAATGGTTGGTGTTCCTTGTTTAGGGTCTTGTTTAGTTTACTCTTGGTTTCGTGATAGATCTCTAACACTCATTTTGTTTTTAACTGACAGTCCACAATTGCTAGTTTACTCAGACTGTGAGCTCCCTAGACTTTGTCTTTGTTGTGACCATGTTTTTTTTTTTTTTTTTTGGCTGGATCATATTCATGTTTTTGTTTTGTTGTTCTTCTTTGCGTTTGAACTTTTTTTCTTGGCTTGTCTTGACATGTCTAACTAGGTGTAGTCTCACCAAGTGGACATTTTTCACACTCTGAGAAGTTTTTGGATGTTTGTTTTAAACCCACTTTTCTCCATTTTGGAGTCCTCACCTTATCACTATCACTAATCTGACAATTACATTAAGTTTACACTTATTTTTTATGGATTCTAGTATGCTCTTTTTGTCTCTCATGTTGCTGCTCATGGTTTGTTTGTATATATTGTAGAGGTTAATGTCAATCACAAATTTTAAAACAATCAAATCCTTATGATTTACATTATTTTTCAATGTTACTTTCAATTCAATTAATAATTTGGGTCCTATTTTATATTAGGTGGCCTTAACTAATATGTACCTACACTGAAAGTAATCATTTGTTACAATGTATTTATTGTGTAAATACAAATTTTACATTGTTTTTATGATTGAATAAATACCTGGATGTAGTTACATCTGTAATTACATTTGTTATTAGACTGTTGACCATCCCTTACACCTTAACTCACCCTTAAACCAACCCATAAGGCCACTTAATATAAAGTGGGGCCATAAATTGCATTATGTTTCTTAATCACAGAAGTATTCAACTGATAAGCAGATCTGTCACTTACCTGAGGTAGACCCCAAGCTGCAGAAAGTGAAATGGTTTGATCAATTTTTTTTCCTTTGTAAATTTCTCCACCTCAGTTTCAAGCTCATCCAGAGAATCAGAGTACCAGATCCAACTGAATACCTGTAATAACACTGAGGAGCCCACTAGAAAGAAGATCATCAGCCCCATAAACACATAAGCTTCCTCCTGATAAAGTGACACAACAGTTCGGATGTCCATTACTATATCCAGCAGGAAAAGAAACAGTCCAATCCAAGTAAACAGGTAATACACAAAAGAGTAATGAAAAGTGGAGCTCGCCTCCATGATTCTGTCCAGTTTGATAAGCCTTATAGCATAAACTTGATACTCCTTTTTAACCGTGATGTTAAAGAGTTGAAACAGAAAGTAATCTGACACACATAAACTCCTCCCAAGTGTGTGTGTGTGTGTGTGTGTGTGTGTGTGTGTGTTAAATGATTAGTCATGACAGAATACAGTAAGTATTGTAAAACTCACAAGCAATGAAATACCAAAATATTTTTTCTAACTCTGAAGAGATTCTATTTTAACCCTTTAAAACCCTTTTGAATCACATGTTGGGTTATGTTTTTTTTTTTTTTTTTTTTTTTTTCTGAATTTCACAAAAGCCTGGTGTCCACAATATTGGACTTTTGTCATCCAATCAAATGGCAGCAAGATTCTATCTGAAAAATGTCTGAAGAGAAGCACAACGCAGAGGCAACATTTTCAACACATTTATTGATATTTTTGCCAATATTTCATAGACTTTACAGAGAAATATATCTGTCCATCATAATGTACAGCTCGTTTTAATAGCATGCAGTCAGACACAACAGATCATCCATAAGGCTATTTGGAGAAGAATGATCATATGTAGCATGGAGTTATGCAGTCAACAGAGGAGAAACACCGATTCAAAACTTTATTATTAAAGTTTTTCTTTATAAAAGTTTATTTTATTATTATCACAGAGTAGATATATGCAGATACGGTATGCGCATCTATTGACTCCTTCACAACCATTTAAATAGTGTTTGTCCTGTAGACAGTTCTGACAACTACACTTTCAGAAATAAAGTGCAAACCTGTCATTTTGTAAAAGTATGCCTTTAAATTTGGTTACAAATGAATACCTAAAAAGTACAAATGTGTACTTTATAGTACCCCAAACGTAAAAAAAAGTGTGCACTAAAGATACAAAATTGTTCCTTAAAGATACTAATGGGGACCTGTAAGGTACAAAAGTGTACCTTTCATAGCGATGCTGCCCTTCTGGCAGGTTTTGCAGCTTTATTCCTGAGATAGTAATCCATCATAGGAATAAATACATTACATATAACCGTGTATGAATTTTAGGGGAACACAACTGGATATAGGGAAGTGTTTGTGAAGTTAAATTTAAAACTAAAAGTAGAAATCTGCAGCTATGGTTCTACTTCATAGAAGAACTCCAGGAACTTTATCTACAGTTTTTGTTTCTGCTTTAGTGCTAAAGCCTAAGTCAATCCCTTTCTTAAATGTTCCTTCAAAGATTGTTTTATCGAGTTCATCTATTTTCTGTTTGTAGCTAGTATAAAACCATTTGTAGTTCATCATCACCCCCAAAATTGCAATGACATATAATCCTAGCAGTGCTGGGATAACTACAGCAGGGTTTAAAGAGGTCCAGCAGCCTGCATGCTCAGTCACCTTCCAGCTCCAGAAGCCCAGAAGCATCATCATGTCTAACAGCAAGAAGCTACAATAAAAAGCATGCTTTTTGGCCACAAAAACCAGCACCATCCACAAAGATAGAAAATGAGCAATGATGTAGCACAGGAATACACTGCAGAAGAGTGCCAGAGCGGCCACACGGGGAATGATCAGCAGAAAGTTCCACAGCAAATAGACAGCAGAGGCGGTCCAGCATGTAATAACACTGAGGAGCCCAGTAGAAAGAAAATCATCAGCCCCATAAACACATAAGCTTCGGTAACGCTTTCTTTTACAACCCGCAAAGTACCGCGTAAGTACAGTGAAATTACAGTGTACTTTTCTGTACGTACTGTGTAAGTATAATGAACGTATGTGTAGGTATAAGGGAACAAACCGTAATGCTTGGGTAAAAAGGGGGTAACAACCAGATATTCAGCATGAAAAGTACCGCGTAAGTACAGTAAAATAACGTTGTACTTATCTTTAAATTGCAAAAGAACAAACCATAATGTTTGCGTAATAGGGGAGTAACAGCAAGATATTCATCATGCAAAGAAGTATATTAAGTTTACGATGCACTTTTCTTCAAGTATTGTATACATATAAAGAATTATGCAAGGATGGTAACAACCTATTGCCATCTGCAAATGTACTGTACATGCACCTGCATGAGTACATTAGTACTCTTATTCAGTGTTTGGGTTTTATATGGGGTGTTTAATGAATAAAAGGTTTACAACCTGTGAAATTATGAACCCTTATTGTATACTGTATGTATTTTAAATCTGCAATTCAATATAAAATATTTCCATACACTACTTACCTTATGTTTACTCGTCGATCTCACCAAAGCATCAATGTCTCCATAACTCACTATCAACAAATAACTTTGCATGACATAGGCCTACCGTCAGGGTTCAATGCAGATTAAAACTGGGGGCTAACTGTTGCATTTCAGTGAACGTATAGCTGATGCTTTATAAAAAAATGTAGTAGTTTGGTCTTCAATCAATAAAAACTGCTGCTGTAGTTTACTCTGTTCTTAGTGTTCAAGTATACACTAGTGTGTTAAAGTTCAGCTTCTTCCCTCTTTGTTCCCTGTAGTTAAAGGGTAAATACAGTATTTGTTCCCTCCTTGTTTCCTGTACTTACAGGGTAAATACCACATTTGAGGCTTGTAAATTAAAGTGAAGCTTTGTTACTCGCTTGTTACCTGTAGTTAAAGGGTAAATACAACATTTGTTCCCCCCCTTGTTCCCTTTAGTTTACAATGTAAAATTTTAAAGGCAGTAAAATAAATATACAAACACACAATACATTTCTTCTTTACTTTGTAACCTTTATTTTAATAAATAAGCATTTTAAAACACTCCATATTAATCAAACATTGTCTTGTCTATCATTGCCTATACTCATTCATTTTCTCTTCGGCTTTGTCCTTTTGTTAATCTGGGGTCGCCACAGTGGAATGAACCACCAACTTATCCAGCATATGTTTTACGCAGTGGATGCCCTTCCAGCTGCAACCCATCTCTGGGAAACATCCATACACACCCATTCACACGCATTCACTCCAGACAATTTAGTCGACCCAATTCACCTGTACTGTATGTCTTTGGGACAGTGAGGGAAACCGGAGCACCTGGAGGAAACCCACACGAATGCAGGGAGAACTCCACGCAGAAACGCCAACGGACCCAGCCGAGGCTCGAACCAGCAACCTTCTTGATGTGAGGAAACAGCACTACCTACTGTGCCACTGTGTTGCCACCCAGCTGCAACCCATCACTGGGAAACATCCATAAACACTCATTCACACACATACACTACGGACAATTTTAGCTTACCCAATGTCACCACATATTTTTGGACTTGTGGGAGCACCCGGAGGAAACCCAAGCTAACATGGGGAGAACATGCAAACACCACACAGAAATGCGCACTGACCCAGCCGAGGCTCGAACCAGCAACCTTCTTGCTGTGAGGCGATTGTGCTACCCACTGCGCCTGCCTATATATACTCAAACAGCAAAATAACACATTATTTTCTTCCCCCTTTTTTTCTGGCATCTCTTGCTTGGCTTCCTCCTCTGCTCTTCTCAGCTTCCACTGAGGACTCTGATGGTGTGTGGCTGATGAAATCCCATGGGTCTTGCTGCTCTGCATTTATATAAAATATATGAACAGACATAAAGGCTTTTAGTAAGATATAGACATGTTTATTTTTCTGTTTAATGTGTGTGTAGTGGTTGTCCAACAATTTCACACACTAAACATTTACAGATACCATACAGACACTATACATTACTATCAAACAAAGTACTATCATCAGATCATATGGGAGATTGTGATCATCCTTTCCTTCTGGTTTGACAGTATACACCGGTAGGTTATGTGCTTTCTTGACAACAACATGAACATTTTGCTCCCATTTGTCAGCTAATTTATGTTTGCCTCGCAAACGCACATTCCTCACTAGAACTCGGTCACCTTCTTCCAGAGTTAAGGCAACTACATGCTTGTCAAACCTTTGCTTGTTACGTTCTGCAATCTTTCCAGCATTTTTGGTAGCCATCTCGTAACTTTCACGTAAACGATTCTTCAAGTTTTCCACATACTGTGAGTGAGACTTGTTGGGAGTGTCCACTGGCAACCCGAATGCCAAGTCAACAGGAAGACGAGGTTGTCGCCCAAACATGAGCTCGTAGGGAGTATATCCAGTTGTGTCATGCCTGGTGCAATTATAGGCATGCACTAGGGGTTTTACATACTCCTTCCACCTAGATTTCCTCTTATTTTCCAGTGTTCCAAGCATTTGGAGCAGTGTACGATTAAATCGTTCCACTGGATTCCCCCTAGGATGGTATGGGGTTGTTCTGACCTTGTGTATTCCTGCAACCTTACACAGCTCCTTGACAGTACGTGACTCAAAGTCGGCTCCTTGGTCACTATGCAGCTTCTCGGGAAACCCATAGTGTATTAAGAAGTGGTCCCAAAGACTTTTGCAACTGTTTGGGCAGTTTGGTTTCGAGTAGGTATGGCCATAGCATACTTTGTAAAATGGTCAGTGATGACCAGAATATTCTTAGTGTTGCTTTGGTCCGGCTCTAAGGATAGGAAATCAATGCACACCAACTCAAGGGGCCTACTTGTTTGAATATTAACCAAAGGAGCTGCTTTTTCAGGAGGTGTTTTCCTCCGAACACAGCGTTCACAGGTTTTTACCTTCTGTACCACTGCATGAGACATTTTCGGCCAAAAGAATCTTGTCCTCACAAGATCCAGTGTTCGTTCAATACCAAGATGACCCATGTCATCATGGAGACTCTGTAATACGGTGTTTCTAAGTGAGGTAGGTAAAGCCAACTGGTATGATGAAGCTCCATGTTCCTGCTTCTTTCTGTACAGAACATTACTCCTCAACTCAAGACGCTTCTATTCCTTTAACCATAAGCTCACAGCAGAAGATAGTCCCCTTAACTTACAAGGCTTAACCCCACTTTCCACTCTTTCAATGACAATTTTCAACTCTGGATCCTTTCTCTGCAACTCTGCCAAAGCAGCTTGTGAGAGATGAGGGAGACTTGGGAGACCATGTTCATCCTCATGCTGGAACTCGTATGGAAGGACATCCACACAGTGGGTAAGAGACTCAACCAAAGTAACCGAAGGGATACAATGGAGTCCTTGGGGTGACCCAACTACTTGATGCTTTTCGC